AGTGTTGTGTGGTGCAGTTATATAGTTGCTGTAATCTTGGAGATGTCAGTGTGTGTGTGTGTGTGTGTGTGTGTGTGTGTGTGTGTGTGTGTGTGTGTGCGTGTGTGTGTGTGCAGCAGGGACAGATCCTGCTGGAGCTGCCCTCAGCTGGATCAATATCACTGACACTTAACACACTTTTTCCATGATGTTACAAACTCTTTCTTCTAATCAATGTTGTAAATACCGTTACTGTGTTGTGTATATGTTTCACTTCTGTCCCTCACGTGTGTCTCTGAGGTTTCTACGTTATCTTTCCCGCTGTTAATATGTTGTTGTTTTTTCTGGTAGTTTAACTCTTGTTGAGTGTCAAGAACAGAGGATGTCAGATCTTGTTAAGCCCCATGACACAAATTGTGATTTTTGGAATAGATTCAATACTTTATTACAGACAGTTGTTTGCAATTTGCCTGTGTGCCCACGACGAGACAACAATCACAGCGTAACACATAAGAAAAGAAACAACACACATACGACAGAACTGCCGGAAATTGAAAAGTTACAGTTATACAGATAATCGTATGCTTGCAACAACGAGGCAACAATTCAGAGACTGCACTCCGTTGTTTCAGCTTGACAGTGCCACTGTGCACAAAGCCAGGTCAAGTTGGAACATGATCTGTGAGCCAGCCTTTATCACCTAACGCCAGCGCCAGACTTCACAAGTGCTCTTGTGACTAAGCAGGATCAAATCCCCCCTGGGTATGTTCCAAAATCTCATAAATGGGAAAGAAAAGTGGAAACTGTTATAGAAGCACATTGATGTTAGCAAAACAATGTATTTGAATGTCTATATACTTATGGCCATATCTTTTATCTCAAAACAGGGTAGGTTTGAACAGTATACCTAAATCCTTGTTGCAGGTTTTCTGATAATAAATCAATGCAGAGCAAAAGAAGAGGAGATGATGGCTCCTGTTTGTCACCGTGCACCAGTGTAGTGACTCTGTCCTGGTGTCTCGCTCCTCCTCAGATTCGCGTGAAGCCGGACAACAGTGGTGTGGTGACGGATGGAGTAAAGCACTCAATGAACCCCTTCTGTGAGATCGCTGTGGAGGAGGCGGTCAAGCTGAAGGAGAAGAAGCTCATTAAGGAGGTTGTGGCTGTCAGCTGTGGGCCACAGCAAGCACAGGTGGGTGTCATGGGGGCGAGACTCTGCATCCCTGCCTGGTCATCAGATGTCCTGGGGAAGTGCAGTTTGTTGTGGCTGTTTGTATATTCTTAATAAAGTATATGTCTAATGTGTGCGATACAGAGATGCATTCCATATATAAACAAATGCAGAGTGATAATAACAACACACACCATAGCTTCCATTATCAAGTAGTGCAGCTGGATATAATTATTTTGCCTGTGTTGCAAATTATGTACATGTATTGTAATAATTATAGTTAACGTTCAGTGAAATTTATTGTTTTTGGAATCCTGTGTATGTAGCCTGAGAATATGTACAACAGCCTGTGAAATAATCAGAATTTCATGTTCAGAGTGTTAAATATGTAATAATGGGATTTATCAGGGCAGAAGAAACAAACAAGTCAACATGAGAAAGGAAATATTATGCATGAACACAGCAGTTATTGTTCCTGAATACTGGTAGAAATGTTATTAACGTTTTGGGCCCTACCACAATGTGTATTAATCCTCTCTGGTTTACTCTGGGAGCAGCTCCCCATAATTAAATGCCTGTCAAAGTCGTTTGACCCATATCTCTCCCTCACACAGGAGACCATCCGTACTGCCCTTGCCATGGGTGCAGACCGAGGCATTCATGTGGAAGTGTCTGGGAAAGACTATGAAACCTTGGGGCCCCTGCAGATCTCCAAGATCATGACTGCTTTGGCCAAGAAGGAGGATGCACAGCTCATCATCCTTGGCAAACAGGTGAAAGATCCAGTTTCATTTCTTTAGAAAATCATATTTCTCCTCTTATCTGACAAACACTCAGGTCTCGCACTGCTCTTATCTTTATTTAACTTGTGTTGCTTTCACAGGCCATCGATGATGACTGCAATCAGACGGGCCAGATGACGGCAGCCTTACTGGACTGGCCTCAGGTGACTTGACTGCAGCCTTTTGAATTAGTTGTTCTAAACCAGACTTGGTAAACTTGCCCCACAAATAACAACAGTTGATTTAGGCCTTAAATGATCTGGGTCGTTTCCTACTTTACTTGTTAAATGTGTGACATGCTTTTATCAGGCTATGTCCCTGCTCTGACTGCCTTATCAGTGTTAGTGGAGACGAGTGTGAGTCAGTCAGAGCTACAATGAACCTGCACAGATCAGCAAAACAGGTTAAAGGTCACCTGGACAGCTGTAGTGAAGTCCCACTGGCTGAACAGTAGATGGAGTACTTTGTTATCTCACAGGCTGAGCAGTCTGAAGCACAGATTATCCAGAGCTCAGTTTTATCTCCATTTTCGTATCTGTTCAGTCAGTTATATAGAATTCATACTCACATCATATCATTAGCATTACCTTTAACTTTAAGCAGTTTGTTTTAATACACCTTTATGGAGTTTATACAGTTACACAGGCCAACCAGCAGATGGGGCACAATCACTGCCTCATGGTCTCAAGTGAACCTGTTTTGTTCACTCTAATTTTTGCATTTCAGGGACAGAAATGATGTAAGAGAAATGTTTTCCAGTTGGACAGTTTGAATACTTGCTTAAGTTTCAGTTTTTGAACATCGATGCTGTATCTTTATATTTCAGGGCACCTTTGCATCAGAGGTGTCACTGGAAGGAGACAAAATTAAAGTGGTGAGAGAGATTGACGGCGGCCTGGAAACGATTAAAATCAACACACCGGCAGTGTTGACCGCAGACCTTCGACTCAACACCCCCAGATATGCTACTCTGCCTAACATCATGGTGAGTTGCAAGGAGTACAAAACACAACAGGGGGAAAAAAAGCATGAAAATTACAGTTTGTTTTGATTCTGGTTGTCAGGAATATGATTTAATTTGTGTTGAGAAAAAAAAACAGCTGCTGTTTTCATTACTAGCCTACACTTATTTTTTAAAAGAAAGGAAAAACACAGATACAGTTAAGATACTGTTGAGTATTGCACCATCTGCTCATAACCATTATCCTGTGTTTCTTTTCTTTCAGAAAGCCAAGAAGAAGAAAATAGCCAACATGAAGCCTGCAGACTTGGGAGTGGACCTCACGTCACGGTTGGAGGTGTTGAGAGTGGACGAGCCCCCAAAGAGGGAGGCGGGGGTGAAGGTGGAGACGGTGGACGACCTTGTGAGCAAACTGAAGGAGACGGGGACGATATAGAGGCAGGAGGAGTACAAGGAGAGAAGAAGGGTGAGTGTCACTGCTCTTTATCAGTATTTAAGTTTATACTGTAGAATCATAAGTGATAACCTGTGCTTTCTAGTCCTTGGTGAAAAATAATTCCATATGCTATTATTAAGTGTTCATAATAGTTATATAGTTATTGAGACAGAATTGTTTGCTTGAAATATCAATGTCATTTTAACATCATTATGTCTTCATTGCAAAAATGAATGTGTTGCTTTATGGACTGAGTGTTTTGCTGTGACAGAGAATTTATTTGATTTTAAAGACAGCTCATGTCTTGAATTGTCTATTCTCTGCTCTCCTTTCAGGACTCTTTAATGAATAACTGGACTGGATTACTTGAGCGCACCCAGAGGACTCGCTCATGTGTCAGCCCAATCCCTCTGCTTGACACTACTCCTCCTGAGGACACGCAGGGAGGGACTGACAGGAGAGGAGGAATACTGAGAAACACTGTCTGTCAGCAGAACCAGACACGTCCAAAAAGATTATGTCGTCTTTGACCTGCATCCCATCTTACATGGATGAATCCTCAATCACAGGCTACTGATATTAGACAAGCAGTCATGATGCAATAATTTAAACTTACTAACCTTCTTTCTCTCACTGTTGCTGTTCATATTGCTCCGCACGCTAACACCACCAGTACGATGCATTTTACCAACAGTCTCTTCATCTTGTTTTTCTGTTGTCTCGCTCAGAGGTGCAGTTTGTGTTAATGATGTTTGTAAATATGAGCTCAGACATATTCAGATAATTATTTCTATGAAAATTAGCATCATAACCGTCGGTGAATCTGTTTAGTTTGTCTGTGAATTCTAACAGGGTTTCTGTCTAGACGGTGTCTCTCAGTATGAGCAAGGGAAATCTATTCATAAACCTGAATTTTACCATAAGCGCCTCAGTTCTCTGTTGATTGTACAGAACCATTACCATAACAATAAAGTACCCACTCTTTTTCATATCTAAATATGAAATACTTGTACTGTTTCTTCTCTGTGCTTGGCTTGGAAAAAAAACAAGTGGTATGAAGTCTGCTAAAAAGAAAACATTACAGCACACACTCTGTAAATGACATTTATTTTCATATATTCCACTAAAACTAAAAACAGATCAAATGATTAGTTGATAAGCTATCACAACTTTTGGATGTTTATTTGGAGGAATGAGGCAAAATGTGAGAGTCGCTGCAACATAAATCCAACAAACTCAGTTCAGCATAAAAGAAGATTAATGATTCCAGTAATTAATAAACAGATGTTTTAAAGTTGTATTTTCTGTCATCTGGAAGTCAATTATAAAGTTGTTTTCAGGAGACATTCAAGGAATTATTTGGAATAAAAACTAAGCTGACACATTGACCAACCAAAGTATTCATTGTGAACTAATATCAGAATCAGAAATACTTTATTAATCTCAGGAAAATTCAAATGTCACAGAGCTCCTGAGAAAGAGGTGAAAGCAAAAAGCAGGTATAAACATAGCAATTTAAAATCAAGTAAGACTAAAATGAAAAGATATACATATGTAGAAATCAAAACCGGGTATGTATAGATTTACATTTGTACATGAATGTAAGTTAAAGTATACACAGTATACAGAATTAAGCTTTATAAATTACAGTTGTCATTATACAGTTTGACAGCCACAGGCAGGAATGATTTCCTGTGGCGTTCTATCGAGCAGCGTGGGCGGATGAGTCTGCCACTGAACGAGCTGCAGAGGCTAATCAAGACATTATGGAGAGGGTGTGACGGAAGTTCCGATATTGTCCTTACTTTGGACAAAGTTCTCCTCTCCATCACCACTGTGACACTGTCCAGCCCCTCCCCAACAACACGGCTGACTTTCCTGATTAGCTTGTTGAGTTTGTTAATGTCCTCCTTCTTCAAGCTGCTGCCCCGGCAGACAACAGCAAACATGATGGCACTGGACACAACAGACTCACAGAACATCCGCAGCATCGTTCTGTCTTTGTTGAAGGACCTGAGCCGTCTCAGAAAATAGAGACGACTCTGGCCTCTTCTGAAAATCATGTCCATATTTTTTGACCAGTCCAGTTTATTGTCTAAGTACACCCCCAAGTACTTGTAGTTATCCACCATGTCCACACTGGCCCCTTGGATGGTCACAGGGGTCACTGGCCCCTTCGACCTCCTGAAGTCAACCACCAGTTCCTTTGTCTTTGACACATAGAGCTGTAGGTGGTTTTTACAGCTCCATGTGTAGACAGGGGAACTAATATATAAGTACAAGAAATGTAGAAACATATAATGGAATAAATGAACAAGTGCATAAACATGTAAATGAATGTATAATTATAAATAAACAAATGAATAGGTGTAGAAATACATAGATGGGGAAACATGAATGAATTAATAAATGTAGAAACAAATACAGTGATAAATAAACGTGGAAATTAAAAAAACAGAAAAATACGAATAAATGTAGAAACAAATACATGAATACATGTAGAAATATAAGAATAAATTAATGATTGCATGTAGAAATACAGAATAAATGTAGAAATAGTATTTTTCATCAGCATCTATTTTACTCATGAGTTTAGTTACTTATATCTGCATGTATTTATTTATGTGTTGATACTTTACTTGTTTGGAACAACAGTGAGTTCCTGACATGATGAAAGTAGTGTAATGTGTAGTAGTGTGAGGGGCGTGGCCTCACGTGCACAATTAGGGCTTTGACTCAGCACAGGTGAGCTACATGCACGCGCCTGTCAGCTGCAGCTCGGGAGCGCGCAGGAGGACACAGGTGTTTCAGTCGCTAATGTCTCAGACACGGGGGACAATCATTCAGCAGCAGCAGAGTGTTAATGTGCAGGAGATCGAGCTGATAAACTCAGGCTGTGCTCTCGGTTCTCTTCCCTCTCACTGACATGACTCCTCCGGATGAATCCGGGACCTTCGCTGCGCTTGTTCTGGTCCTTTCACTGAGCGTTTCTTTTCAAGGTGAGACTCCACACGAACCTTCAGGTTTCAAGTCGGTTGCTCCTTTGCTGTTTGTTGCTTGAAAAAGCCTGTGAATTCATTAATTAGTGTGTGATTGTTCCCTTTTGTAGATGATTTGTGATGAACCATGGTAATTACATTTATTTGTGCCTATTTTAAGTTTTAGTTTTAAGCAGAAAATAAACCTCTGTCATATATCATTATGTTTAACTGTTAACTGTTTTCAAATGTGTCATGATAAAAATGTTCACATGAGTCAATAAGATCAATAAGTGTAATGATAAATGTCACATTATATTTAGTTCAGTAAGGATTTGTGTTCCTTCACTCAGGCTGCAGTTTGAAACTCTTCTTGAAGAGCAGAGAATGAAAAACACTTGTTAATGAGTGAAATATTTCATTAATCTGATGAATTATCATGTTTTACGCTCCTCCTCTGTTGCACAATGCATTTAAGCATTATATCAATGTATATTGAACTTTTGATATATTGCAATTGCTGGAAATTATATTGTGATACTTACTGGTATTATTTGATTGCTCAGCGCTTTTTCAGAGAATTGATGACTTGGTAATTTAATATTTTCTCTCCAAACTTAATAACTCTATTCCATGCTGACAGGTGCTCACTGCAAACTGGTGGTTTAATTTATCTTGGAATAAAAAACCAAAGCTAAGTAAAATCCACCAGAAAGAATATTTCACAGCACACTCTCTATAAATTAAATATATTTTCATATAATCGCCTAACAGGTCAAATAAAGAGTGATACTAAATCCAACAAACTAATTTCAGTGTAAATGAAGTAAAAACTTTCCAATACTAAATAATAAATTGATGAGCGATGACTTCATGATTAAATATTTCCTCTCCAAACTTATTCCCTGGGCTCCGTGCTGACAGGTGCACACTGCCAACTGGTGGTGGCTCGTGTGGGCCCCAAATTGGTGAATGCAAGAGCCGGCAGCAATGTGACTCTGGCTGTCCTCTTCGGTGGGGCCACTGACCCAGCGGTCACCTGGTTAAAGGGAGAATTACCCGTCCTCACGTGGACCATTGGCTCCAGTGCTGCAGCAGACATCGGCCCAGAAAACAAGGGGGTGCTGATGATCGAGGAGGACGGATCTCTTACCTTTGTGAATGTGCCGCTCGACCACGCTGGTAACTACACCATCGAACTGACAAAGTCTGGGCTGGGTAAAGCTGTGGCCACTTTCACTCTGAAAGTATTTGGTGAGTATAACTGGCTGATTCGGAGATGTGCTGATGTATTAACCATCACATATGTTTTGTATTCGCTTGTTCTGCAGTTTATTTTGGTCAAAAAAGGGAGATCTGGACTGTCGTGAAAAAAAACTACATTTTTGACTCTTCATTTGAAAAAACATTACATTTTGGGTTTGGTTTGGTTCTGCCAGAGGTTTCTTCCTGTTTAAGGGGAGTGTTTTGTCTACTGCTTGCTCAATGTGGAAACTGGGTCTCGACCTTACTATGTAAAGGGCCTTGAGATAATGTATGGTTTCATTTGGCGCCATACGAATAAAACTGAATTTAATTCGTGCAGCAGGGCAGTGGGTGTTTCTCCAGAGGAACCAGAGTCAGTCAACCAAGGCTCCCTCCCAGCCTCGGGGGCTGGAGGCCAATATTTATAGCATTAAATAACTAACTAAAACCTTGATGATGGTCAGTAGACGTGAAATATATAAATTCCTCAGGCCGAAAGTTAATCAGGTCTTCACAGATTTCTCATCTTAATAAGATATTGTGGTCGTGCATTTAGAAGGAAAACAGGTTTGATATCAAAAGGATTTCAGTGCTTCATCCTCCTTTCACCTTTTCTCTCACAGAAAACTTTGAGAATGTAAAGCTGACGGTGCAGCCTGATCTCCTCAAAGAGGGAGCTGGAAGCTTCCTCCTGCAGTACAGAGTGTTGAAAGGAGAGGTTGAGCAGCAGAGGTGGTTCTTCAACGGCACAGAGATAAAGACCAGCTCACACTACACGGTGAACGACAGGAGCCTGGAGATACTCGACCCAAACCGAAATGACACAGGGCGGTACACAGTGGTACTGACCAACCCCCTCAGCCGCGCGGAAGCTCATGTGAATATCACCGTGCTGTGTAAGAACTTTGACATCATTCTTATCCGCATCCATCCATCGTTTTAGTTTCTGATAAATCTCCTGTATTTTCGTGGTCTGCTGTAGATGGACCAGACGAGCCCAGACTCGAGGCCCGTCCGGCGCAGCCTTTCTACGTACCCGGGGACTCTCTGAGCCTCGTCTGCCAGGCGGGCGGATCCCCACGGCCCACTGCTCAGTGGGTCTTTGCCGACCTGACCCTCTCTGACTCTGGAGTCCTGAATCGAACAGATGTTCAGATCAGCCAAGGAGGTGTTTATACTTGCAAGTTAACCAACCAGCAGACAAAAGAACAGCAGCAGAAGAGCATGACTTTAAATGTTTATGGTACGTGGAAAGCATGAGTTCTATATTCAGTGTTTTTATGTGATGGAATTCAGAATTAAGCCAGACAGATTTTTGAAAGCTGATATTGATATTAGGGAATAAAAAAATGTGTGATACTGATACATGATTGATAGAAATTCAATTGAAAATAAAAATGTTTAAATTATAAATGTAAATACACAACTTTTATACATTGCTTGTTTAGCTAAATAAAAGTTTTACTACCATGTCTGGGAAATTGAATAGGCAGATTTTATAATATATTGCTAAGTCTTCAGGAGGAAGGTCTTCAATCAATTCCCTCTTTGAACAGAGAAGCCGCCGGGCGACCCGATATGTTCTGTACAGTCGGTGAATGTGAACGCAGCCCTGCAGTATCACTGTCAGTGGCCGGGGGGAACGCCACTGGCTAATCTGTCGTTCCCAGCACTGAGCAACAGCAGCAGTGGAGCGGGAAACTTCAGCTTGACTGTCACCGCCTTGGCCAACTTAAATGGGAAAGCTGTCACATGCAAGGCAGCCCACCCAGTTCAACAGAATAAGTGCAATATTACAGCAAGTAAGTTTTAGATGTTCCTTGGATTATCAGTCAAGGGTTTCCATTTGATAATTTGTCATTTTAAAAAACTGAGACCTCTGCAAAACCTTATCTTCCTGCAGGTCATCCTGTGGAGTTCCTCCCAGCTGTGAGAACCTCACTCGACTCTCAGGGCAAAATAGAGGTCGCTGTGCACTGTGTGAGTGAGGCCTCGCCTCCGGCTGTGGTGTCATGGTCCAAAGGCAGCGAGGCCATCGCCAACGGGACAGCGCACGAGATCAGCAGTGACACCACACAGCTCAAGATTCTCGGTTACAATGTCAGCAACTTTATCCAGCAAAAATACATCTGCACCTGCCGCAACCCACTGGGCAGCCAGAGGGGGGAAATCCAGTTACAAGGTAGAGTATAGCTGCTCTTTGAAATTAGCCAGTTACTTAATCAAGTTGTCAAATACCAAATATACAGTAAATACTTGCAGTTGTGTATTTAAGTAGTTGAGTTTGGGCTCTTCCCAAATTTCAAGAGAACGAACAGGTCGTCAGATGAAAGATCTGCAACTCAAATTAGTTTTTTTTTTCTAAGCATAAAGGAGCATAAAATGTAAGTGTTCAAATTTAGCATCAGGTTTTACTTAAATACAGTACTTGAGTAAATGTTATTAGTTACCTACCTAAATAACAGACAATGAAGAAACAATTATATAGTTAAAAGTAGCATTCCTCCTTCTACATTTGATTTACAGCACAGTGCAGTGGTTGCTTGTACGACCAGAGTCAAAAGACACAATGGCTCCTCAGTCAGAGAGCCAAGTCATACCTGAGGTTACTTTTCTCTTTAAACAAAGCTCCCCAGTCTCGGTGAACCCCCGGCCCTCCCTCTCCTCCTGTCCTCTCCTGAGCTGCCCCCACATTCACAATCCCTCTTTCTCCAGGACCGTCCATCTCAGATTTCAGTTTGTTCCCAAATCCCGAAGGAACCATCGTCACATTGACCTGGGAGGTCCCGCCCACCTCCGTCGTTACAGGTAAAGCAGTAAGAGAGACCCAGCTTGATTCTTAAACACCACACACAAACACGCTGTTCTCACTCTGAATCAGATTCGCTGACATTTACAAATTCAAACACGGGTTGAAAACAAACAACTGTCCACAGAAGATAGGGGCGTAAATATTGTGTCATGGGTAAAACCACCAGCTGAGCTAAAGCACTGTGAAAAGCAAATGTCACTTTTTATTGTAGCCTCCTTCCTGCCAGTTGGTATGTACATAAAATAACAGCAACATTTCCCAAATTGATGCTCGATCATGTCAAACTGAATTGCTTGTGCTTTCTTTGCAAAGGGTTCAACATCCAAATGAAAGGACCAAAGCTCCAGAGCGAAAAGCATAATGGCACCGAATCGAGAGGCGCCTCAAACAGTTATCGTACCATCCAAAAGAAACTTGGCTCCATTCGGAGCACAGACGTTTTGGCCCTCGATCCAAACTTGTCGTACCGGTTTCGAGTCATCCCCCTAGCTCGTTCGACTGAGGGGAAGCCTTCTGATGTCCGCAGACTCGGCCCAGGTAGCGTTACATTTTGAGAACCAGATTTCTCACCACGGGGGGTTAGGGTCGATGCAGCAGTGGGAAAATCATCGGTGACTCTCTGTGACATTAGGAGAAGGGCTGAGTGGTCCTGCCATCGCTGGGATTGCAGCTGGAATCCCCTGCAGCCTTCTCTTCCTGGCCCTGCTGGGCGGCTCCATCTACCTGTGTGTCTACTGGAACATGAACAAAAGTAGGTGCAAGGAAGATGAGGCATAGTTTTCTTCACATGCTGTGAGAAATGATTTTGACACTGTTTCTGTGTTTTGTAGGTCAGCAGGCGAGATACCCGGTGACCAGAGCCGTCGAGAAGGTTAAAATCTCTTCACTGACATAAGTAGAAGACCAGTGGTATATTGATGCCAGGAGGGTGGTAGGAGGTGGTAGATCATCCATCTTTCAACTCCAGTATCTGTGTAGAAGTACTGAAGTATTTTTAGATCAGGTTGTTGTATATATTGATGTATACAACAAATTCAAGCTTTAAAGCGACACAGGCGGAGGTATTAAATGAGGAGGAGGAGTTTTTTCGGTGGCTTCAATATCAACAAATGATTGTGCATCGTTAAATACAAACTATACAGTAAATCAGATTCTTTAGCATGTTCTACAATGAATTATGCAGCTATCACTGAGTTTTGTTTCCTCTCAACAGGCAATAACAACCCAGTCCGAGATGACTCCTCATCACCTGCTGACCGGAGGACTCAAGTCTCCCCCTGATTACAACAAATTACAGCAGGTAGTTTGTATCTATTAAAACACGTTGCTTCTTTTTGTGGATTCACAGTATGAACGATGAAACGTTGGTCTGTTTTCTCTCAGACTCCCTCTGAACGATCGGGGGCTCTCCCCACGTTCGTCCCTCCGCCGCCCACCAGAGTCGCCACAACCGTCTGAACTGAAGTATTTGTGTTGATGTGTGTATTAATTCTGTACAGATTTTATATATTTGTATCATTACTTTAACTGATTTAAATGTTCATTGTGTAACAATATTTATTGTAAGTTTTTACATATATTTAGCTTAATAACACAACTTGTCTCCCTTCTATTTATCCCAACGTAACATCTTATCAGGATATAATTCAAAACACAACTTAACAATACCGATTTCATGCCCCAGGTCACTTAGTGATATTCAACTGAATATTTTATATGTCCCCCTTTGGTATTTATTTTTTATTGAATTGCATGTCATAATTCTTAGTTAAATCAATGTATTACTTCACATTGTATATTCTGTGTAAACATGCAGGATGCTCAAATAAATCCTCATTTATACACTTTTATATCTTGCCCCACATGTTCTTTATGCAGTAGTTTTTCAGTACAATCTTTATTTTGCATCTTTCTGTACTTAATTCTGTAGTTTCTTTCAGGACTACAGGTGTAAACACAGTTTGGGGCATGTTGTGTGTCGTGTCAGATAAAGTGACAGTACAGGTTTGACCACACATGGAAAAAGCAGAGATTGCAGAAACACTGTATCTAATATCAGCCATGGACTCAAGAGAAAAACCTCCTTGTGTGATACAGCTGTTTGTGAATTAGACTAAAACAAAGTTAATACTCAAAGTAGCCCACATAACACATTCAGACTTGTAAGTTCAGATTTGAAATGATCTATATTTGATTATTTTAACATTTTCCATGGCACAATTAAATCAGCAAGGGGAAGCCTGCTCCTTCCTTCCCTTTTTTGTGGGAGTTGTGAAGTGATGAACACGAGGAAGCAAGATGGTTAGTGACGTCCCCTCTGAACAATAGTGGTTGTTGCCAAAACAAAGGATCATATCTTGGAAGTGTTGTCCTTTAAGATGAGGTCACACTCTGAGCACTAGATGGTTCTGTTGACTAAAAAAAAAATCTAATATTATTTTAACACACAAGTAAATATAAAGAAGCAACTTGATTCTGACTTATAGAATATAAGAATATGTATTATTATTAATGCAAAATGAATATTAATAATTAAGTAGCATCAGTATCACAGTGATTGGTAAGTATTTTAGAACCAGGCTTATACAACATTTGTCTATAATCTTAATTAAAACAACTAAATATGTTACTTATACTTAATTTAAGTTACTGTTGTTTCATGTTGCTGTTATAATATCAGTTGTAATAGAACAAGGTTATATTGAGTACAAAAAATTACCAAGACTTTTCATAGTCCTGCAATTTTATGTTTCTCAACTCTAAATGGTTCTGGCATTTACCAAAATGTCTCCCGTCATGTAACACATCCACGAGGAGAAGAATGTGAAGTGAAGCATTGACAGGACAGTTTTCCACAAGGGCTTGTTCCATTCATGCGACCAACCACCAGAACAAAGTCATCAGCTCGCACCGTTCACGGAAATAGCCCCATCCTCAGGTCCTTCTGGATATTGCACTTCCTACTGGTTGTGACTCACATAAATGCTCATTTTAAGGGGAATTTCTTTGTTCATGATTTAGACACAATTGTTTGTCCTATTTCTTCCTCTCTCTCTCTCTCTCAGATGAATACATCATGCTTTCTAAATACCAACTACACAACTAAGTATTTTTAAAGTTATGCATATACAAGCTAAATACACCAATCTAAAGCTAGATACACCAATCAAATTAACTTTGATAACAAAACTTTGACCAAATATTGACAAAATATTTTTGTGTTTAGAATATAAATTGATTCTAATTACTTCTTAAGAAATTCCTTTTTTTTAAATAAAAATGTGGTTATTAATCATCTGAGACAGAACTGCTGCTGACGTGGTCAGAGTTCACTGAATGTAAACACAGAGCACCTGAGAAATAATCACCTGTGCTGATATTCCCTTCCTGGTTTCTTAAATAATCCAATCTTTTTTAAATTATCATTAATTTTATTGTTGCCTCTTTATTAGGTGAAATTGTATAGTGTGGTAAAATCTACGAGTGCAACTTACTGCCCTATGTTCATAAATTGTTGGCATATATATGACTTTTTCCATGGTTACCAAATTATTACATAATGTTATTGATAATATTGTAAATAGTGTGTGTCTCCATTTGTATCTGCAGTACTGGTGCAATGTTTCCATCATTACATATTTATGTTGAACTCTGTTTCATTTTAATAAGCACCTCTGTGGTCATGTGTCTGTTCTAAAGCGTGTGTGTGTTTGTGTGTGTGTGTGTGTGTGTGTGTGTGTGTGTGTGTGTGTGTGTATGTGTGTGTGTGTGTCTGTGTCTGTGTGTCTGTGATACCCTGAAAGAAAGTGTGCATTTCAGCATGTTCCATTGACCACAGCAGTACTGCATGCCTTTGCACATCCACAGTTCCAGAACGCCTGAGAGAACAACAGATGAGCACGGCGCGGCGGCGGTGGCGGCCTCGCATCCCAGAACCTCCCCCATCCCCCAACACCACCACCCCTCCCCTTATACCCCTGACCCCCCAAAATACTCCCATGTAGTCCAGTGTGAAAGAGTCACGTGGCCTTTGGCCCAGCAGCTCAAGTGCATTTGTTCTGTGCTGATTGTTTTAAAGGATTTTGCCTCCATCAACAGAAAAGTGGAGAGGATAACTTTTTGGAATCCAGCCTAGGGCTTCCTCTTTGACGTTCCGCTCACTCCCGGCTTGCACTCTCTCTCTCACTCTTTCCCTGAGGAAAGGCTGACACTTAAGAGGATTGGTATATCCTGAGGAATTCAGGTAAGATGATGCTGGGTCTTTTGTAAATGGCTGATACCACATCGATAATAAAGAATAGGGAGTAAAATAACAAAGTAGATATGGTGCTGACCAGGGGGTGCATGTGGCACAGGTGGGCCGAGAGGGTGATAAGAGTGATAAGCTTTCAGGATTTAGCATTTTGTATCAAAGTGGGTGAGTTTTAAAAAATATATTTCCGTTTCAAGATTTCATTCCAAACTTGAGTTACAAGATTTCCCACAGGTTCCTTTCATGGGAATTGCTAAATAAATAGTTTTCTGACTCTCCGCCCCTGAGTGTGGTCTCAGTTAGTGTAATTAACCTGGCTGTCATAGATGTTTGATTTCTGCTGCTGTGGTTTACGTCACATCATTGTTGCTGCTGTTGTTGTTGTCATACTCAAAAGAGACACAGGGAAACAGGATTTAACCTCAACGTGGGTTTATCTTCAAAGAGTTGGACACATCTGCTTTTGCCAAGACAAAGCCTCAGTTGTATCAGTATCTCTCACAGAGTGTTAGTTGTGTGTGAGTTGATGTCACAGATCATTTTTGGATTCATGTTTTGTGTGGTTGGCTGAGGAAATGACCTATGTGTAACTTGTGCTGCAGGGAGTATGAAAACAAAACACATGTTGATGTTTCGTGGTCATGACGACCTCTCTGCCGCCTTGTTCTACATTACATACGTGCATGCTTCTCCTGCTGTGAGTCAAGATGTCTTCTGTGATTAAGGCCTACGGGAAGACGTGTAAAGGTTTCTCACAGTCAGTATTTCAGCTGATCTGATTCTTCACCTTCTCACACATGGTCCATAGGAAGGAGTCGCGTCAGTCATTGAGGAAATGTGGTTGTATAAATTCAACACTGTTTCCTAAAGGTCAAATAATAATGAAGATGGTGTGGGCTGGACAGAAGGCTGTTTTAAGAGCCAAGCCCATGTTGGGTGAATAGAAACAGGTGATCTTCCCTTCATTGGATATTTATTAAAGTCAGCTCAAAGATAAGCCCTCAATTTCCCTTGTGCCACATGTTACCATCATCACAGCAGAATGCATGTGGCAGCTCTAGATGCATCAGGCTTGTCCTGCCTTTGCATCAAAGCATTTCTGTTTCCATAATCATTTTCCTTCTGAATAAATATTAAAATCAATCTTTTTTTTTTACTTCATTACCACAAGGTCACAACTAAGACTTCTTATTTTCTCTTTTTGCACAGTGCATAAAGCCTTAGCTGCTGTCATAGTGTCACTCATGATGTACAGCTTCATGGGAGGGGGCCTGTTTTGTGCCATCGTGGGGAACATCTTGCTGGTGGTCTCCACAGCCACAGACTACTGGATGCAGTACCGTCTGTCCGGCAGCTTCGCCCATCAGGGCCTTTGGAGGTACTGCATGTCTGGAAAGTGCTACATGCAGACTGACAGCATTGGTAAGTGGTGAAATATCTTCTTGGACTTCTCTCAGATCTTCCAGGCCAACATGTCTGAATGATTATGTTCTGCCCTTACTTTAAAGGTACATCAATAATTTGTAGGTGACCCCTGTAGGATGATCAGGCTGCAGTCATACCCATTGGTGAAGGTGCTTTCAGCTGCAGGCTAGTGGCAGCATGCTAACATGGTCACATATCAATGCTAACTTGCGGACCTGGAATTATTACCATGTTTACAAACATAGTTTAGCAGGTTATCATGCTAAAAGTTATCTCAGTTAGAAATGAGTACAAACACAATAGTACAGAGGTGGAGGATGTTGGCATATAGTAGTTTTGCAGGTATCGTGTCTTAAACCACAAAAAGTGTAGGAGACAGATTAATTCCCATCAAACATTGAAACTGTCAGGACTTTGGAAATAAATTGTTTTTTTCTTTTTCTTGTCTTACTCCTCCTCAGCCTACTGGAATGCCACTCGAGCTTTCATGATCCTCTCTGCCATGTCATGCTTTGCCGGCATCATTGCAGGAATCCTCTCCTTTGCCCACTTCTCAGCCTTCGAGAGGTTCAACCGCTCATTCGCTGCTGGGATCATGTTCTTTGTGTCCAGTGAGTCACAGTCGTATTAACCAAATATTTTTATGAAATGTCTTTTTACAACATCACATTGAGCATGAATGATGTGTTTTGTGGTGAATTTGCATATCATGTACAGTAACTGCCTGTTGCAGAAACTGTTGGTGCGCAGTGTAATGATTAACTGAAATGACCTTTAATATTACAGATACTCATTTAAATAATTGTCTCACTTGCCCACAATGCCAGCTCTCTTCGTTCTGCTTGCAATGGCAATTTACACCGGGGTGACGGTGAACTTCCTGGGAAAGCGTTTTGGTGACTGGCGCTTTTCCTGGTCCTACATACTAGGTTGGGTGGCTCTGCTCATGACCTTCTTTGCAGGTTTGTTCAAATACACAAGTGGAGTCAACTTCACTGTCATAACTGTTTCTTGCTGACAGTCGACAAAATCATTCTGAACTCTGACATGAATATTACACCTCTGTGTTTATGAAAAACAAACGATAAAAAAAACACGAAGACTGCCGTTTTTGTCATTTTCCCGAAGCTTTAATCACAACAGTTGTTAAAGAGGCTGTTGATAATGCATTTGACATATTCAAATATACACATATATTATCAAACTCACACATTAGTAAGCTAAGCTATGCTGGATAACTAAAAGAAGAATTAATTGGTCATTTAAAAAATTACTTTTCTTTCCATACGTGTTTATTGTGCCACAATCTTGTACTTGACATCTCTGTGCTGAAGAAAATGCCTTTGTAGCAATTTACTTCATATCTGACTTTTGATTTGTTTTTTGTTGCAGGTATATTCTACATGTGTGCCTACAGAATGCATGAGTGCAGAAGAGTGGCTGGCCCGCGTTAAAGTAAAAAACACAAACTACTGTGTCAAGGGTGAAAATGATGTCAAATCTCCTAAAAAAAATAGAGCGTACTGTAAAATAATAAAAATTTGGAATTTGCATATGCAAATAAAATGTCTCTGCATTTTGTATTAAAAGGGTCTACATTGTTTTCAAAAGCAAAGATAAATAAATGTGAAATATAGTTGAAGTTAAAACAATATCTGAAGCAATCAACTTGGTATTTCTTGGACAATGTTGACTGGGATTGGCTCCAGGATATAATGGAAATGCTACATATTTCAATATACCGTTTATAATGAAAAGCACAATAATAACATTGAAGCTGGATAATATTGAAAGTGACTTTTACCCTTCGCTAGAGTTGGAGCCCTGCTTCTGAAACCCTGAAACAGGGAGTTTACGTTTCCTGAAAATTGACCTTTTACTGTTGCAGTGGAAGGTAGAGGAAGAGAAGTAGAAGATGATGGGATCAATGCAGGTGTTGAAGGTGCTAAGCAGTAAGGTGTAGTACCTCCACTCTGGGCTCTTATCCTGAATGAAACCCACTAAATGAGAGATATTGTATGGTAGCACGCAAATGAGGAACACTGCTAGAGTCCCCAAGGCCATACCGATGGTTTTCTGCTTCTGCATGTGGGATATCCTGGGCCGGCTGTACAGGATGTAGATCAATTGCACGTAGCAGTAAACACAAATTAAAAGAGGTACAAGGCAGAGGACAATGAAAAACTCCAAACGTACCGGGAGGAGGACCTCCAGCTGCTTCTCCGTAAAGTTCTCATAGCAAACACGGCCTTGAGTGTCATTGCTGGTGAGGGATGGGTGGTGCTGGGTGATGATAGTGATACTGCAGTGTACTAAAGACATCAGCCAAATGACTGCACTGATCACTACTGCATACACAGGATTTTTCAGCCGATGATAGGTGATAGGGAAAGCGACTGCAATGTAGCGAACCACACTGACAGCCATCAACAACAAGGAGCTGGTGTAGATGGTGGAGAAGAAAGTGAAGGAGGCGAGGGAGCACAGGAATTTGGGCAGATCCCACATCATGCCTGACGCAGCCTCGTGCATCTTGAGAGGAAGGATGATCAAGAAGAGCAGGTCGGAGACGGTCAGGTTGAGTAGCAGGACGTCTGTTGGATGTGTCTTGATGTGGATCTTGACACTGAAGGCATAGAGAGCCAGGAGGTTGGCTGGCAGGCCTATCACGAAGGTAATTATGTAGACCGAGAGAATCACCTCGCTCCTCACCATTTTCTATGGACCTGAACCAAAGGAAGTGAACAAACATCAATAAAAATGATAGGTTGCATATAAAACTGGAAAATACTTCTGATTTAAACTGAAGGACTATTTGTAAGTTTTTCAGCCGAACATGGTTTATTGCCAAGAGTGGACAGTTTCAACGATTGCTCATCATTGATCACATCACTTTCTTTTTTTATACAAGAATAAATAAAGTTAACAAACATCATAAAATAAATACAGAAAAGTTGCAAAGCAAAGGAGCCACACTCTCAATCTCCAAACACCAGATGTGGAAAAATGGTTCATAAGGTCAAAGTATATCCACTTACCTAATGGAAGACGTTTTGAGAATGTTAAAGCTTCAAGGAAGAAACAATTAGAGCTCTCTGGGGTTTTTTTCCTCGCTGTGCCTTGCTGATTCAAATGATAACTGCGGTGAGTCACACTCCAGCCCAGAGTCAAACTCTTTTCTACTCATTTAAATGGAACAACAAGCTGACACCAGCTGGTTAATCTTTACTTAAATGCAAAACAGCAGGTTCATTATGACTTTCATACATGCAAATAAAGGGACCTCCTCCCAATTCATAAACTCCAAACATGATAATTAGGTTTGGATTTCATCAGGCTGTGTATCTGCTTTAATTTATATTCACGCCCACATGATAAATTAAGATAAACTAATTATTTTTCCGCGTAGAGAATCGATTTAGGACATCCCTCTCTGCTTTCATTCGAGACATCAGAAGGTTTAGAAGAATAAACACTCCACATACCCTTTGATATCCTTTGGCCTAGAGTAGCTTTGTCTCTGTTAATTTTTGACAGCTGAAATGTTGGTTTTCATTCCTTGCACTATCTACATTAGCATCCGTTTCACTGCAACAGGAAATGAACAACTCAAACACTACTGTGCATGTTATTCAAGTGGATATTGCGCTTAGGTTGCAACTGAATTGTATGAAGCAGCAGCAGATATCTTCAGATCAGCAGTCCAGATATTGTACATCGGTACAACAAACTTTGTGGAAAGTCAAAAGTAATATTTTTGAATGCTTGTGCAATAAAAGGTTTTACCATTCAGTGCTCTTGATTGCCCTATTACTGTCTGTTCTTAGATCTTACACGATGACAGGTGTAATGGAAAATTTGCATATGACCTTAGCTTGAACTCTTTCCTATGTCTGATCAATGCTCGTGTGCTGTGTTCAACAATTACTCATATAGAAACAGGGTAAAACTTTATATCAGGGAACACACAAAGTGAACATATCCAAGCACTTGATTGTAATTCATGTACAAAAACTTCCTCACTGATAAGCAGTAATTAGGAGGTTATTAAGGGAAAACTGTTAATCAATGGAGTAGTTGCAGAATAAGGTCATTAAGAATAAGGTATTAATAAGTGCTTTATAATGACTAATAAAGAGCCAATATGCCTCTAATATCCAGGCTAGCAAGCAACTAGTTAATGGTTGATATGTGTTCCCTAATATAAAGTGTTACCAGAAACAGTTGTGCTCACATGCAGATGGACGATTCAACACTAGACAGACTCCTTTTTTTCATTTTTACCTTTCACTAACAAATGCCCTGAGTGTTGCTATGCACTCTGCAGATGTAACCTCAGAGTTTATGTCCTTGCTTGATGATGATCCACTTGTTGACCCTGAGCTGTGAAGATAGCAAACTTTTTCTTACATGCAGAAATCAAGAGCGGACAGTTTCCTGTGTTAACCAGACTACAGGTAGCTTCAGTTTTCATGCTATTACTCAGAAACACTTATCTCTTATGTTTCCTGTCTATCTGAATGTATAAAAACCTTCTTCTTTCCCTATTTGAGGTGTTCCACTCTGAGTATTCATGTTGAGTGTGAAAACCTCTGCAGAGCTTTCTATTAAAGATCCAAAGATAACTCCATTCTGAGAAACTCTTTATTTCACATCTCGAGATAAATTTCCACCACACAGGGCATCTACATTCTTCACAGACTCCATCTGGTCTCTGTCCCCCCAGATCTCTTCCACCCAGCCTAGGTAAGCCTGGAGGAACCCAAGGTCATCCCCAAAGTTTACAATTGGTCCTGTTCGACTCTGTCTCAGATCCCTCAGCCTCCTCCTCCCCACCTTTCTGATATCGTTCCCAACAATGCTGATCAAGGAGAAAGTAACCAAATCAGAGTTATTCTGATGAGGCATAGCTGACACTAGATGGCAGGGTTTCCACACATTCAATAACTGAGAACACTGAGCAGTTTCTGCATTTTAATCGTACGTCTTCAGAGAGGTGTTTGAGCTGGGGCAGTAAAGATGAGAAAGATTTTCAGTACTCGGGATGTAATTGTCGACATTTTCAGCAACTTTTATATCTTTGCAGAAGTTACTTGTATGTTCCTTCACCTGGTCTCCCTCAGTGCCCAGCACAACACAACATCTCTGGAATTAATACTTCAGAGCTTGAGTCGATGGTTTTGTTGTGAGAATGATGGACACCTGAGGGAAAAAGCTTCCCTTGATGTTTGATTTCTGCTGCTGTGGTTTACGTCACATCATTGTGGTTAGTTGTACAAACATATCTGTGATTTGTACCAACAGGACGCATAAAAACAAAACACATGTTGTTATTAGTTGATTTATTGTGGATGGTTTGATTACTCTGTCCAGCAGCTCTCAGGACGACCTCTGTGTACAAACACAGGTGGAGGATTTGCTTATATTATTTTTGCATGTAACTCTTCTGTAACAGAATCTTAAGTGAGTCGCAGTACCCAAATATGTGCATGGATGATATGTTTTGTGGTGAATCTGAATATCATGCACAGTAACTGCCAGTCGTCCTGTTGCAGAAACTGTTGGTGCAGAGTGTAAACTTCAACTGAAATTCCCTTTGATATTACAGATACTTTAAACAAATATACAGCTTTTTTTGTCATTTTCCCAAAGTTTTATTCACAACAATTGTTAAAGAAGCTGTTAAAGCTGCACTCGATATATTTTCAACATATAAATTTTTTTTTCAAACTCGCACCTCAGTAAACTTCAGATATATTGGATAACTAATACAAAAATAAACATTGTCTTTAAGAAAATAATAATTTTCTGTCTATAATTTATTATTGTGCCACAATCTTGTACTTGACATCTCTGTGCTGAAGAAAATGCCTTTGTAGCAATTTACTTCATATGTGACTTTTGTTTTGGTTTTTGTTGCAGGTATATTCTACATGTGTGCCTACAGAATGCATGAGTGCAGAAGAGTGGCTGGCCTTCGTTAAAGTAAAAACACAAACTATTGTGTCAAGGGTGAATATTATTTGAATTCCCATAAAGAAATAGAGAACTTACTGTACAAAAATAGAATTTGGAATTTTGCATATGCAAATAAAATGTCTCTGCATTTTGTATTCAAAGGGTCTACATTGTTTTTGAAAGCCACACAGTCACTTTGAGCAGGATCAGATCACACTTCAGATTTTTTACAGGTCTAAGACATTGTTTTAGATCAATAAATGTGAAATACAGTTCAAGTTAAAAAAATATCTAAAACAATCTGTATGGTACTTCTTGCCCAACAGGTTTGGCTCCAGGATAAACGGTAGAGATAAAAGACGCAGAATGAATGGAATAATAAAAAGCACAATAATAACATTGAAGCTGGATAATATTGAAAGTGACTTTTACCCTTCGCTAGATTGGGTAGCCTGTCCTTGTAACTCAGAAACAGGGAGTTTACGTTTCCTGAAAATTGACCTTTTACTGTTGCAGCGGAAGGTAGAGGAAGAGAAGTAGAAGATGATGGGATCAATGCAGGTGTTGAAGGTGCTAAGCAGCAAAACGTAGTACCTCCACTCTGGGCTCTTATCCTGAATGAAACCCACCAAATGAGAGATATTGTATGGTAGCTCGCAAATGAGGAACACTGCTAGAGTCCCCAAGGCCATACCGATGGCTTTCTGCTTCTTCATGTGGGATATCCTGGGCCGGCTATACAGGATGTAGATCAATTGCACGTAGCAGTAAACACAAATTAAAAGAGGTACAAGGCAGAGGACAATGAAAACCTCCAAACGTACCGGGAGGAGGACCTCCAGCTGCTTCTCCGTAAAGTTCTCATAGCAAACACGGCCTTGAGTGTCATTGCTGGTGAGGGATGGGTGGTGCTGGGTGATGATAGTGATACTGCAGTGTACTAAAGACATCAGCCAAATGACTGCACTGATCACTACTGCATACACAGGATTTTTCAGCCGACGATAGGTGATAGGGAAAGCGACTGCAATGTAGCGAACCACACTGACAGCCATCAACAACAAGGAGCTGGTGTAGATGGTGGAGAAGAAAGTGAAGGAGGCGAGGGAGCACAGGAATTTGGGCAGATCCCACGTCATGCCTGACGCAGCCTCGTGCATCTTGAGAGGAAGGATGATCAAGAAGAGCAGGTCGGAGACGGTCAGGTTGAGTAGCAGGACGTCTGTTGGATGTGTCTTGATGTGGATCTTGACACTGAAGGCATAGAGAGCCAGGAGGTTGGCTGGCAGGCCTATCACGAAGGTAATTATGTAGACCGAGAGAATCACCTCGCTCCTCACCATTTTCTATGGACCTGAACCAAAGGAAGTGAACAAACATCAATAAAAATGTAGTTATGATAGGTTGCATATAAAACTGGACAATACTTCTGATTTAAACTTTTGACCCAAAATCTGCGCAGTGGTGATTGTGGTAAGGAGCAGCGGTACCGAAGTTCTGCAAATACACGCACTCAACCAGAATCAGTCAGTCAGGACCCCTTCAACACAGGAACGAACATCCTCTTTGAGCACAATGTAATCAAAGTGCACTTTGACTTTTTAGCTTGAGAGGAGATGTCATGACATACATTTTACAGGCTTAGGATACAGTATGTAGTTTAAAAGGTTTTACCCTGTAGTATAACTTTCTGATAACACTTTATATTAGGGAACACACAAAGTGAACATATCCAAGCACTTGATTGTAATTCATGTACAACAACTTCCTCACTTACCATCAATAAGCAGTAATTAGGAGGTTATTTAGGGAAAACTGTTAATCAATGGAGTAGTTGCAGAATAAGGTCATTAAGAATAAGGCATTAGTAAGTGCTTTATAATGACTAATAAAGAGCCAATATGCCTCTAATATCCAGGCTAATAAGCAACTAGTTAATGGTTGATATGTGTTCACTTATATAAAGTGTTACCAACTTTCTTTTTTCATACAAGAACGAATAAAGTTAGCCATGCTTTCAATCTCTGACTCCAAACACCAGATGTGAAAAAATGGTTCATAAAATAAACATATATCCACTTACCTAATAGAAGACGTTTTGAAAATGTTAAGGGCTTCAATGACGAAACAACTAGAGCTCTATGGTTTTTTTTCCTTGCTGTGCTTCGTGCTTTCAAAGATGAGCTGATATAAAACTATAACTGCAAAGTGGTGAGTCCAGCCCAGAGTCAAACTCTTCTCTACCTATTATATACTGATGTATGCAAAACAGCAGGTTCATCTTGACTATCATATGTGTTTATAAAGAACCTCCTCCCACTACATAAACTCTAAACATGATAATAAGGATTTGGATTTCATCTGCATTTATTCATATTCACACCTGCACAATAATTTACGATGAACAGATTATTTTTCCACACAGAGAATCGATTTAGAACATCCCTCTCTGCTGTTCCACGTCAAAGATATTTGTTTTTCTCCCGATTAGCATCATTTTGACTGCAACAGGAAATAAACACGGCAGCCTCACAGTACTGTGCATGTAATTCAAGCCAGCAATGGACAGTAAGAGGAAAGTGATGAGTTTTCTGAACATTTCCAAGTAATAACCTGAATATGAGCACAATATGTCTCCTGCAAAATGCGTTACATAACTTATGGTCATTTTCATCCAATCAGATCAGTCGAAGACTTAAGCAACTCCATAATCTCTGTCTGGAGCTCCTTGTCTTCTCTGCTTTCTTTGTGATGATTTTTAAAGTCTGGTGAGGTGTAGCTTACAATAGATGGCAGGGTCTTCACACATTAAATCCCTGGGAACACTGAGAAGGAGCTGCTGCGTTTTAATTGTGCGTCAGTGTCTTCAGAGAGGTGTTTGTGCTGAGAGGGATGAGGGGCAGCACGGAAAGATTTTCATTATTCAGGATGTAATCTCAAACTTTTGCATCCTACTTTTGTGTCTTTGCAGAACTTGCTTGTGTATTTCTTCACCTGGCCTCCCTCAACGCCCAGCATAACACAACATCTCTGGGAAGAAATGCTTTGGAGCTTGAGTCGATGGTCTTGTTGTGAGAATGACAGATGCCTCGGGGGAGAAAGCTTCCCTCTATTAAAACCACCAACAGCTCTGACACTGGCTCTATTGAATTCACTACAATGTTTTTGACCAGGACTGTTCTAATCCCAGGGGAGTCAGAACTCATCTAATCCATCCAAGATGAAGAGTGAGGGGCTTGTTGAAAGCCGCTCCCTCATTCTCTGAGTAACTCTTTTACCGCTCCCTTTGTTTCAGGCGGGTTGTTTTATGAGCAGAAATGGAAACTGCAATGGGAGACATGAAGATAAAATGTACTGCGAACAAATGTGACATTAAATTATTTCAGATGGACATTTGAATTGAGTCCACGTACCTTGAATTAGTCAACTGCACACTCTTGCCTTCTCCTTCCTTGTTAGCTGCACAGTGAATAGACTATGAGATAATTTAATCAAATCAATCAAATAATAAATGGGACTTCATAAATCATCATATATAGAATATGAATAGAAATATTGTGATGAAATAATATATCCATACCACTAACATCAGGAGACTGGGTGGCACCCTTGCTCTTCCTTTGGAGTAGTTTTGCAAATAGGTTTCTACGCTGATGTTCACCATCTTAGCATGAAAGCATACTAATATAGTTTTATTAGCATCATAGAAGGTTAATTTGCTTTTCAAGACCAAAGTTTTAGACAAGATGTTGTAACTTTTTCACCCGATGATGTCACTAAATGAAAAGTTAGGAGATCTTCCAAGTCGCTACAATTCATCCTGAGGGGGGCATGAATGTCTGTGACTAATTTCACAGCAATTCACCAGGTCATTGTGAAGTCATTTCATTTATAGCTGAGCTTAATGGACTTTATGCATTTTACACTCCTTCCATCCCAAAGTCAGCAGAAATTACTTGGCAGGGCATCGCATTGATTGTACCCTGCACACCGTTAATAATCCTCTAACCTCTCTGTTGCTCAGGCAGTAAAATGTTTTGCCTTTTGTCCTTCACTTTTACGGTAAGGTTTTGTGAATAATAATTTTTGAATGACGAATGATCATCAAGTGTATTAACGCAACTGCTCCTCCTGCTTTTTCCACTGGGTCAATGTCCCTGTCGTGCATATATCTGCACAATAATAATCCTGTAAATACCCTTAAAAACTCAAAGCAAACAAATGAAATTCAAAACAGTAACAAATATGTGTTCAAACAGATTGTGTGCTCAGTAGTCTATTGTTTTGTGAACCTTTCTTTACAGTCTGTTGTTGGTATGCAAAAGTTACTAATGTGGTGGTCATCTGCAGTAGATTATTGTCAGGCTGAAGTTAATCAATAATCTGTTTTATTCAACTTTTCATGGAGCTTTTATCGCTGCTACTTTTGTACTTTATGTGGGACTGTCTGTGTTGACAGAGGGAATCAGAAATGAGTCGCAGCGGTCTTTGAGGAAATGACGAACAGCATGAGAATGACTCACACGTTGTCATGTGTTGTCTCACAAATACTTGCTGAGGTCTTTCTTTCCCTAGCGAACAATTCCTAGCTCCACCACTTTTGAAATATTTGAATCATTTGCAAGTCAATAATTCATTAATTATAAAATGATATTGTCTGCTATTAGAATTTATCTTAAAGGAAGTAACTGCTATACAAACATAAGGTTGGAGGTTAAAGATTGGGCATCAAGGTGAAGTTATAGCAGTAGCACATGAAATATTCCCACTTCCCCCTCTTTGCCCAGCGTTTGGCCGTCCCTGTGTCTGTGCTGGCAGAGCAGGGTTGCAGACATGCATGTGAGCACTGTCTTTCTTCTGTGTCCGCTGATTTTTGGTGAGTTATTCAATCCAATATCTATGATTTTTAATGCATTTACTGTGATTTAAGTTTGAACTTCAGGGTTACTAACCACTAATCATAACTATCATTGCAACACAAGTAGACATAGTTGTTCTTTTTGTCTGGGAATGTCTCCTGCAGAATTTACTGTACTGGACAATTATATTCTATTCACAGATAGAAATCATTTAATTGCTGTAAAAATTATATGTTTGTGTATCTCCATGAATATGATGAGTTTTATAATGTATATGCAGACGTGCCTTCAAATGGAGACTTTCTTCTCTTCTTATTTGACTGCATAATATCCACATAATAATTACACTTTATGGTTGTAGATTAGTTCCAGAGAAAGAAAAGCGATTGCCAGCTTCCCTTTTTCTATATTTACATCTGTTGCAAAACCTTTGTAGGTCATGTTTGCGGACTGTGCAGTAAGATCATCAATTCCAACTTCGTGCTAAATTAAATGTGGATACGCCAACATGTCTTCTTTCAAAGAATAAATTAAGTAATTTTTTAATTAGACCGTTAACACTGCAAACTTTTTAATTGGTCACACTCTTAGGAAACGTATTTTGTTCCACAGCTCCTCCAATAAAAACAGTAAACATTGGACAAATAATTCAATGGTTGAATAACTTGCAATTTAGCCTATTGTCTCCATTCATTAAAGCATAAACCTATAATAAAGCTTTAACTGATCCTTCTTGGTGAATGATTTTCTGTTCTCTGTCACAACAGCAGCCATGTGGAGGGGGGTCCAGGCTGTCTCTCCAGTGCCCTCAGTCCCTGACCGTGTCCAGGCTCTGGTGGGGTCCTGCGTGGTGATTCCCTGCTCTTTCGCTCCTCTGGCTCCTCATCCTCTCAGGGGGAGGAAGGAGAGGGTGGATGTCCGACTGAGGTTCAGAGGCGGTGGCCATTTATTTTCTCTGCGGAGCACTGCTTTCAACAGCGAGGACCAGAGTCAAGTGAGCAGGGATTTCCAAGGCCGCACATTACTCTTTGGGCGAATCACAGAGGGAGACTGCTCGGTGAAGATAGAGAGAATCAGCCTGGATGACTCACGCATGTTCGAGTTGGCTCTGAAGAAAGGCGATGACTTACTCTGGGGAAAATCAAGCAGCTTCAATTTGGATGTAGTTGGTGAGTACAGGGAATACATTGCACTGTCCTAGTTTCAACCAGATCATGTGGGTATGGAGGCTGTGGGACTTCAGAGGAATAGAGAATTACATTGGGGATGAAATAGTAGAAACTAAGTGCATACTCCGACATGTGGCCAAACCCCAAAAAGATAAGATTTATATATAGCAAAGCAAATTTCTGGAAAGGACCATTACGGCAAACAGAACACAGCTCCTGTCTCTTTAATGCCCCCCTTCTGATTGGCCAGCTGAAACGCTCTGTTGTGATTCGTCAACCACTTCCACCGTGTGCAGGAACCGTCTCCATGCTTACTTTACCTGGCTGTGTTGAGGGGCGTGACTTGCAGTAAAGCCTGCATTATCAAAATGCGGGGCACCTCATGATATTCAGGATCTTCAGGAGCGTCAGTGTTTTCTGTGGAGGAGAGAAGCTCCCTGTACCGCAGATGTTTGGCTTTTTAACTTGGCAGAAATTTTACATATACAAAAAGCCTATATAACACACTTGAGGAAGTGAAACTGAAAAAGGATCGTATTCCTCCTTAAATAAAATCTAAAAAGAGAAAGTTTCAATGTGTAATCATCCACCTTAAATAGGTTGCAATTGCACAATGGTTAAATTAAGTATAAAAGAACAAACGTCTTCTGTGGGAGATTCCCTGTGAGGCTTGTGTATAATTATTGTATCTTTAATAAAACACACTGCAGTAGTGAAACACAATCATGATGAATATTTTCCACGCTGACAGAGACTCTCGAGGCTCCTGTCATCAGCGGGATGTTGGCAGCCACTGAAGGACAGCTGGTCACCCTGAACTGCTCCGTCAGCTATCACTGCCCCTCCAGACCTCCAAGCCTGCACTGGAGCTGGGAGAGAGGAGCCCAGCTGAACAGCACCATACCTGGGGAGGTACTGACACTCCGTCCGGAGCCCCACAGGTTGATGTTACTGGCCCAGCTGTCATTTACTGTGTCACACCAGGTGAAGCCCAGGCTCAGATGCAAGGTCACCTACCCTGGAGGCAAATCAATGGCCACTTCTAAAGATCTACACGTAACATGTAAGCACTGATCTGATGTTTAACTTTGTGTTTCTTGGTTTAGTTCACTCTAAAAGAAATGTCTTTGTGTTTTTATTTGCTGTAGTTCCTCCAAAAGAGGTGAAGGTGCAGGTCCAGTCCTTGACAGTGCACGAGGGGGGTAATGCACTGCTGGTTTGCTCATGTAAAGCTGATCCTCCAGTGTCAGAGTACCACTGGTCCTACACTCAACATGGCCGTACGGTGCACCTCCACCAGCGCACACACTCAGTCCGGGTGTACAACGTGACTCGAGACATGAGGGTCCGCTGCTCCGCTCACAACCTGATTGGTCGAGGAGAGTCCCGGCCTACGTCATTGAACATACGATGTAATCCTACTTTCTGTCATCCTACTTTTCAATGAACCGTAAAGAATATTTAGTAAATATTGGTGGAATAAGTTAAATATGTAATGTGTTACAATTGGTCATTACAATGTTTAAAAAAGATCTTTTGCTGACTACTACTCCAACAATTTTCAAACCCATTCAAGGGAATGGGACATTTTGATTGTGGTCAACTTTTAATTGCGCCATATCCTCTTTACCGGAGACTTTAACCGTCTTGTTTTGATTCAGTGACCCTTAGTGGCAGAAGTTACATCTTGTACATTTAAAGAGTTGTTCCTCCTTTCTCTCCTCCAGATAAACCAGACATCGTCCGACTCTCCTCCACCTGTGTCATTGAGGAGTTTGAGGTGCTGTGTCGGTGTACGGTCACCTCCAACCCCAAACCTGCGGTCACCTGGAGCGTTAACGGGACGGTTCCCCCTCGTGATTACAACGTGTCTGTGACATCAGAGCCTCAAGTGCTAACAGCCACTCTGAGGGGTCACATGGACAAACCCCTGACAGTCATCTGCTTTGCTTTCAACGCTCTGGGGAACGACTCCCTGGTTTTGCTGCAGGGAGGAGAAGGTGTGTTCTGTGTGCCTGCAGCTTTAAGATAAAGGTCAAGAGGATTAGCTGAAGTGCTGCAAAAGAAACCGTATGCTGTTGTTATTGCTTCATATGTTATAAAACACCTGAACAGATGTAAGTGAGAGAAACAATGACGATCTGTCTGTAAGGGCCAGGCCTAAACCATAGACTGTTTATAAAGATGGACGAACATGACAGCTCCTCAAAAGTGAAGCTAAAGTGTCTCAATCGCCCTCTGGTGGCTGGCTCCAGTATAAGTGATAAACCCAGCCTCCTCCATGTTAGCGAATCAAAGTACATTTCAAATAATTTTTCTGAAAGATGGTTTCTATCATTTTAGGCAGTTCTTATTACACTAAAATTTGTTTAAATGTCAATCCTGTCATGATTGATGGCTAAGACTAAGGATTATTTGAGCGTGTGTACTGGCGATACATCTTTATCATGGCTACATCCCCCAATTGCTACTGTGCAGACTCTGGCTCCAAATGATGTTATCGGAGCAAGATGGCAGCATTCGTAACAGAGCTATTTTTGCTCCGTTTCTGGAAGTGAAGATGCGTCATCCATCTCTATGTACGTCTTAGATGTTTGACATCATATACTGATCCGTTGCTGCTCTTCTTGTCTCTTCCCAGTGACAGCAGCTTTGTGGTGGTTGGTGATTCCTGCTGTGTCCATCTGCTCGCTCATAGTCCTCCTGTCTCTTATTTTCTGCTGCTGCCGGAGGAGAGCTGGAAAGTACGTGAGGCAAACCAGCTCTTTGTTTGTTACACTGACATTTCGAAACAAGTGTTTTGCTGGGAGGTTCACACACTTATTCTGCTTCTCTCAGAGAGGTCCTGAGAAGAGGTCCAGCTGTTTACCCTGAAGGACTGGGGATCTATCAGGACAGGACACCTCTCTATATTAACTGCACAGAAGTGACTCACATCTACAACAACGGCAGCTACCAACTTGTTTACCAGAACTGCACGCCTCTTTTTGTCCATTCCAACCAGGTATTGGATTTACTTGATCTCTGAGTGCAGGCTATGTCCTCGATAACAGATGTCATTGCATAGATTTGAATTTCAAAATCTATCATCCCCGAATTTACAGGGGATTTTTAACATCTGACATTTTTTCAGATGCGTCCAATGGGCAGAAGAGGAGGAGAGAGAAGAAGAAGGGGAGAGGGAGCAGGTGCGGACAGACAAGTCGCTCTGGGAGTCAGAGGCACAAGAGACGTGGCCGAGGCAGAAACTGCTATTTACCTGGAGATACTTTGAGTTACATTATCAAACTGTTACATTTTACTTCTGATTCTTTCTAATGGGAATGTTTATAGCCGTCACGTCGTTGTTTATAGACTGCATGCAAATGTCAACAGCATTTTAAAATCATGCAGTGTGATCTATTTCTATAATCTCCATATTGAACCACTGATTGTTGGCCTGTGACCTACCTCTGTGCTGTTTTGTTATATAAAAGATGAAAAAGCATCACAAAAGATCTTTCATCATTTGATCTTGTGGATAATCTATGACTTCTCTCAGCACACAAGCGCCAACATTCAGATTCGATTTGCTCTCACCAGTATTTTACACATTAAACCATTTGTAACAGTGGCTGAGGCATCACAAACACAAAGTGATCCACTGACAAGTTGCTCAAGCTATGATGCATCACATCAGTGAGGGAAGTGTGTAACATTAACAAAAGCTCTGCCCTGTAAAGCATCCTAGGAATCAAAGATGCACTTCCTGTTCCTGAGACATTCACTTTTTATCTTTTCTGTTTTATCGAACCATTCAAGCAGACTTTTATCTATGCATAGATCATTGCCGATTCAATTTACTCATGAAATATAATTCAACAGCACAAGTCAGTTTTTAGCACCCAGACTACAGCAACACTCATAAAGAACATTTATATACACTGGACTCTGGTGTTGTTATTTTGTTTTATTGTGTAGTACACAACGATGCGGGTTGGTGGAGGCACTGTTTGAATTTCACAGTTGAGGGAACAAAGGAATGAAAGGAACTAAACTTTACTTAACTGAACTGAGGCAGAACTCAGATTGGCCAAGTATAATACAGCAGTGCTGCGACAGACCTTCCTTCCCTGAAGATTATAGTAATGAAACATTTCATTTAGAATACAGTAATACTAGAGTAATTGTAATAACCATAGCACAAGATTAGGTTTCCAAGTGAATAAGGCTGGAAATTAAATAAGAAATTATTAGTGCGTGTGTCTTATGGTGGCGACATAACCCGCTGATGCGCTTATTAGAGAGCAGAAGAAGAAAAGGCACACGCTGATTGGCTGGAAACGTCGGTGCGGTCACAACAACACGACACACGTCAGGCTTTTGGTGGGAAAATGATTTCTCCTCCTTCCTCGTTCATCTTGTAATTAAAAGTCTTATCGTGTATTTTCTGACGTGGGCCGTAGCGTCAGGGTGACAGCTACACAACGGTCGCGAAGGTGGGTTGATGGGAGCTCGGTGTGTTTGTTAAAACCTCCAGGACAACCGGGGAAAGTTCACTCCAGCCCATTGTTTGCTAGCGTGCTAACAACGTTAGCCAACCGTCTGTCGCTGAATTGGAACACACAGTAGATTTCCTGGAGGCTGTAGTTTTCTCCACTGCGAGGACACCGCGTGTGTTCTATGTTCTATTAGCGAAGTGTTAAGAAGTGTCGGACCTGTGAGGAATCAACAGCAACATGCCGGAGATCAAGATCAAGCACGTTGTGTCCTGCAGCACCGAGGACACGGTGAGTTCTTCCCGTCACCGACTTTGTGAATTTCACGTGTTTTACCCAAAAGTCAGCTTCCTTTTCACTCATCCATTGTCATCACAGACCCACAAGGCAGACAACCTGCTGAGCTCTGACACCTACAGGAAGTGGAAAGCAGCGAGACCCGGGGAGAAGCAGACATCAGTCATTCTGCAGGTGAGTTCCTGCCTCTCACAGCTGCTGCTGCTGTCTGGGAAATAAGTGTGATTCAGGGTTTCCATAAGATACCGACAAGTCTTTAAAGGTTCAGTGTGTAGAATTCAGTGACATCTAGTGGTGAAGTTGCATGTTGCAGCTGAACACCCCTCACCTCACCCTCTCCTTGCAAACATGAAAAAGAACCTGTGGTAGCCTCTAATTGTCATAGAAACTCAAAAGGTGTTTAGTTTGTTCAGTCTGGACTAATGTAAAAAACATGGGGGCCTCTGTAGAGAGGGCCCCCTCGATGTAAATATAAAGTATTTGAATATAAAGGGCCTTTTCTGGGGTAAAGAAAACTCCAACTCATACAATTTAGATGGAATGAACTAGTGAAACCATTATGAGAATTATTCTACATTAAATTTCTGCCAATAGTTCCCTTTCACCTAAATCTTACACGCTGGACCTTAAAAGGTTTGAAAATATTAAAACTTAAATGAAATGAAACCCACGGCAATAGATCCCTTTCACCTAAATCTTACACGCCAAACCTTTTAAACAGAAGTTTCGTGTTGTAATTGTGTTTGAAACGGTGCTTAACAAAAATGAATACATGATCGATAACTGTGTCAGTAAGTTAAACTGTCTGTGCTCGCATGGGCATGTGTGACCCTTTCTTTTACTTAAAGAATATTTAACAGTATTTGTGCTGCTTGTAGCCACTGAGGGAGCTTATCATAACTTTTTATTTATTTTTGAAACTGTTGCTGTTTTCCTTCTCTCAGTTCGAGAAGGAGGAGCAGGTGCACAGCATCGACATTGGAAATGAAGGCTCAGCTTTCATCGAGGTGTTGGTTGGGAACTCATCCTCAGTCAGAGACCAGGATTATCAGGTATTCTCACAAACCAAACCCAAATATATCACGACCTAGCTTATCTTGACTATTAATGTCTGCATGTTATCTCTGTCCCTTTCTTCCTTGGATTTATTTATTTTTTAGGTTCTTCTGGTTACGTCTTCCTTCATGTCTCCAACTGAGAGCCGCAGTGGCGCCAATATGAACCGGGTGCGTTTCTTTGGGCCAAACCAGCTGCAGAAGAGCCCAGCCCAGGAGAAGTGGGACAGAGTGAAACTCGTTTGTAGCCAGCCATATAGCAAGGTAAAGGTTGTATGGAGTGTAACCAACTCTTGATTAAAATGAATCATTAGCAAGTACAACATCAGCAGAAGGACATATACAGCAAATTATATTCTTACACATGCTAAACAACAGTGTGGTGACACCTGCAGTGTGTTTAGATTTTGAGCTATATGATGAAAGTGGATTCTTAAGAAAGATGTACATTCATTTGTTTTTGTCTTTGCACATAGAACATAGCATACGGTCTGGCCTTTGTTAAGTTCCACTCACCGCCTGACAAAAATGATCCTTCTCCAACAACTTCCCCTGTGAGTATTAAAATGTCTTGTTCTTTTTAATATTTTTACTGAGGCCTTGATAATGACCTGAGTTTTTGTTTCATTCTTATTTAATGTTACAAAATAAGCTAACCATATTAAAAGTCAATTTTGTCCAAACACAAATTAATCAGAGGACACTGTCACAAAATGACTGTTATCGACTGTCTGCAGTTTTTTAGCTTTTGAAATTATTTGTCAAACTCAAACCTTTTGTTGTATTAAAAGAGTGAGTACTTCAGTCAGTCCCTCCATCTCTTCTTCTAGCCACAAACATTCTCTTCTTCTCTCCTGTCAGAAACTGACAAAGTTGGGACAGTTCAGGGTGAAGGATGAGTCTCCGTCATCTGGGCCCAGCCTTCAGCCCGGCAGTCTTTTCTTCAGTCGGGACAGTACAACAAAAGCCAGTCCTTCTCTCAAAGGTAAACCCATTTATTCAAAATTACAAGCTGCTGAAGCCATATTGAATTCTTTCAGGTCCTTGTGATAATAAAGTAAATAATAATAAAAAAACAATAGTTCATTAATTAGGTTGTAATTAAAGCTTCTGAATTGTAGCAGGAGACAAGAGCAAAGAGGTGATTTCAAAGACTTTGTTCATTATTGTGACACTTTGTGGGAATAGTTTCTCAAACCTGCTCTCTCCACTTTAGTGTCTCCTCAGAGTGAGAAGTTGAGCTACGCTGCTGCTGCCCTGCAGACCGGTGGCACCTCCCAGTTATCGGGCCAAGCCTCATCCTCCAGCACTGTCTCTCCACAGGTACTAAACATCACCATCAATTTCTCCACCAAACTCAAATCCAGGATACATATAAAACCGGCATCGACCCTTTTCCAAATAAAATTATAACCACTCTTGTATGTACAGCCTGTAGGGCTATTATTTCCATTATGCTGCAAATACCAGAAAAAGTTGGGTTTATAAAGTTCACTTCCTGACCTTTAAATTTCTTATTGCTGTCTGTTATTTCAGTGTAATTAAGCCAACAAATAAATCATTCACCTGCCAGTAAAGGCATCTGAACTGACATAAGACACTTATTTTAATTGCCTTAAAGCAGGAACATAGGTAAATCGGTCTGCACTTATCCAAAAGCCGTCTTCAGACATTAACTCCAGTTTGAGTCAGAGGCATTCGCAGCAACAGGAAAATGTCAGAAGCATTTAGGCAATGAGTGGCACCTGTGTAGATCATATAAGGGGAAGGACATTGCATCAGCATGCTCGCTTACTCACAGTAAATCATTTTTCATTTCAGTACATTTTCTGCTGTATTTTCACATGGACTCATTCAAGAAACCTCATATAATAATGCACACATCATTCTGGTCCAGTGTGGAATTGCAGTCACTCATCAATCCTGTGTAAATACCCCCTTTCTTACTGTTAGTAAATGGAACATTTCATGTTATGTCCAAAAAATGCATTTTGGTAAAAAGCCACATTTTCTGATATGATGTGAACATTTGGGACTTAAAACTGAAAAAATTTCATTATTTTGATATTTATTTCTAACATCATTACAGCTGTGCCTGGAAGACTTACTTGTTTTTCTTTGGGCCTGTTGTTGCACATGTGCAGCTGAAACATGGTGTTATGTGTCCAAGTTCATTACAAACAAAATCATAGTTTGTCCATTCCCAGTTTATTTAATGGCAATTGTTTCATATGCAGCAGCTTAAATTTGTAGCTTTCATCAACAGCTTCAAGCAACATTTCCTGGCACAAGTAAAAATAAATGACTTTAATTCTGTGCAAACATCAAATGTTAACTGGAAATGTCACTGTCACTCTCTATGCATTGAAAAGTTGTCGAAACAGGTATTCCAGTGATTACAGTCTTGTTTCCAATTTTCTTCTGTAATTGTTAAGCAACCATTTTATGAAAGCCTCTAGGAATTCTTAAACTAAATTTTCTAATCTAATGTTTCTGCATACACAGGGGAAAGGTTTATTTCAGAAAGCTCACCCATTAGAAATTGGACAAAAAACCCTAGCTAAAGTTTGAGCAAAATGTATTCAACTGTTCTGCATTAGATAAAGAGAAAGTCTTCAATATATATTTGCACATTATTTTTGTCGTTGTTATGACGTAAGCATGAGAACTGATCAATCTGTCCCATGAATTGTTTCCACATAGCCACCAGCAAAAAGAAAGTTTGAGTTCAGCAAAGAGCGCCAGTCTGCCCCTGGCCCTCCTCCTTCGAAGAAAATAAGCCCAGCTGGTTCACCCGAGGGTAAAGCTGCAACCCCCAAAAACAAGCCGAGCTCAGCCAGCACATCCAACTCCAGTGCTGCGAAGGGTAACAACACTTAATTTAGTGTCTCAGTCTCAGCATAAAAATTGTTTTCTCACAGAATTTCCTTGACTTTCTGAATTGTGTCCCCAGCGTCCCTGACACAGAAGTCCTCTGACAAGAACAGGCAGAGTTTGTCCAAATCCGAAGCTAAACCCAAACAACAGAAAACTAAATCCCAGGTCCCATTCAACCGGATCATGGAGGGGGTGGTGTTTGTACTCAGTGGTTTCCAAAACCCATACAGAGGGGAGCTGAGGGAAAAGGCTCTGGATATGGGAGCGAAGTACCGGCCTGACTGGATGCCCGGGGCCACACACCTCATGTAAGTAGCTGGTAGCATGTGAAAAGTGAATCCTGAGGTTGTGCTCTTTAGTATCTGCCATCATTACCTCCACTAAGGACGTTATGACTTCAATGATCTCTGTTGATTTAAAACAAATCTGGGATGTTTAGGTGACTGATATTTATCAGTGTGTGCCATTTGGTGAAGATCCAAATAGAAATCTGGATCTATTGAATTTAAAAGTGGACGGTTGGGCCTTAGCAGAGGTACTGAGATTGATTCTATTTTATAGATGTGTTACTTAAATGCAACAATTCAAAGTACATACAAAGCAACAGCTAGCAGCTGCTTAGTTTAGCACAAAAGTGGAGAAACAATGAGTCAAGCTCTGTTTTAAAGATAAGAAATCCACCCACCAGCTTCATTTAGACTCATTATCCTGCTGCTCGCTATAGCCTCTAACTTCATGTTGAGTGAACATACTTGAGTGGTGTCTAATTTCTCCTCTAATTAAGGAAGAAGGAAAATGCATTCCTTTCCCAAAATGTAAAACTATAACCTGAATCTGATCTTAACCCAATCATTTCAGTGTTTTGTGTTGGTACTAATATTGTTTCATAAGCTGAGAATTGAGTCCGTACTTGCTCCAGAGTTTCCCTTTCAGGCAAGATGTAACATAAATTGGTGGAGTCCGCCGAAGCCCTGGAGGCTCTCCCTCGAACATTTCCGTTCACATGTGCTGCCCAGCGCATGTCTGAAAGCACCTTTAGATCATACAATGGTTAACATTGTGAAAGTAATGTAAATACCTGTAGTAGAAAAGATTTCCACACACTTTAGTCTGGTGGACTTTTTTTTCATATGAATGCAAATTCATTATAAAGTCATCGAGCGTCTCGTTGCCTCTTCTTGTGTTGGACTTATAAGCCTTTAAAAAGGATTTTACATTCCCGCCACAGTTTTTGCTTTAAGGGACCTTGTTCGCTGTCTTTGTTAATAAACAGACGGACAGCTCAGAAATGTGACTCCTCACGGAGAGGGTGAAGAGATTACTGGTGAGCGAATGCTAAAGAGCTGCAATTCAATCAATACGTGTAGAACAGCAGATTGCTGGCAGCTGATTTGATTACAGAAAGATGAGTTGAAAGAAAAGTCGATCAATCAGATTTTTTGGCAAGTTTCTCAGCATATCATAAAATCACTTACTGCATACCTCAGCCAAGGCTCCACAGTCTCTTCAATTCAATCAAGCTGCACCAAATTGCACACACTCATAGATATTAATCCCCTAAATGTGCCTGTTATCTTTCATCAAGATTCATTTATTATTCCCTGGAAAATTGGTAAAAATGTCCATAAACAAACAAATGGGTGAAAAATAACCTCCTTGGCAGAGGATAATATTGTGGTAATTAAATTGTGGGACTTCTGCGATTGATATGGCTTTGATCAGAGTCAATTTTGTGATAAATTACTAAATCACTCTTCTTAAATGTGTGAATGTGTAATATTTATGGGAGCCATTGTTATTGAATACACCAGAGGACGTTAAGCAATCTCTAATCAGCATCCTGTTGCTTACACATGTCTTGGAATCAACACAATAGCAAAAAAGATAGCTCCGGGTCCTAACTTTGTTGATCCTTACATTTTTCCTCTAATATTGGTCTCATTCTCATTTGACCAACTGGATTTCATGATTAGATAAAACATTTTGTTTGTGCTAACGTTGAGTTTGTGTCGTGCTGGCTCCACATTCTTACAACATTTAACATATAAGTGCAAACATGTTTTTCAAACAATGCTCTCTTAAGATGAAAAAAAAAATCTTCTCTCTTGTCAACTTCTCTTTGTAATCATTTGTGTTTCTCAACCCAATCATTTCCAGCTGTGCCTTTGCGAACACCCCCAAGTACAGCCAGGTGAAATCAGCAGGGGGCATCATTGTACGGAAGGAATGGGTGATGGACTGCCACAAGAGGAAAGAGCAGATCTCCTATAAACAGTAAGAAATGATGAAATACAAAACTAATGAAAAGAAGCGATATCTTGAGTTTGAATTCCACACCAAATGCCCGGGCTCAGGCATGAGCACTGGCACAGCTGCATGGATTTAAGAGTCTTGTTAAAGGACGCTTCCACCGAGCTTCATCTGATTAATAAGTTCTCTTGAAGCCACAACTGTACCTCTGCATCTCGCAGTGGGCACACAGCAATCACACTGATTGAAGCGTCCAGAAATACACCTCACAGCGGTGATTCTCACTTGCTACAACATTGTAACCTTGAACAGCTGATGCCTGCTGTGATCACAACTTCAGGCCAGGCAGCTCCAGCAGCTGTCTAATTATATGCCTCATTACAGGGGGAGCTTTTGCAACATCAAGGCCGTCTGCTGTTGCTCCAGACGAATCTGTGTCTATTGAATAATGCAGAGCTGAACACTCATCTTGGGCAACGGAAGGTCCAAATTAATTGAAATCTCAGTGTACTGGTGGTGCTTTACCATTCCAGGAATTCCTTCATACTTGTTGCCTCCATAATGATCATGTCTGGCCTGAGCATGAATCAATGTTCAACCAAGCTCTCACACTGATGAGGTGTGCAAGGCTACTGAATAATCTCGGGCTTCTGATGCATTCAGACGCATCCAATGTGCAAAATTGGTATTGTGCTAGATATGACAAAGTGTCAATTCTAGGAATTAATGAATTATCTACTCACCACTTTGCAGATGGAGGGGTGGGTTAAGAGTTTGAGTCCACAAAACACTTCTGGAGTTTCAGGGGTAAACTTTGTTCGAATACAATTGAAGTCAATGTTGATATCAGACGTAATAAAAAAACACCCAGAAAAAACACAACATGCCTCCAAACTGCTTGTGTGGTGTAATCCAAGAGCCCGCAAGCCCCTACGTTGATATTCGACTCCAAACAGCGTCATTTGTGTTTTTAGACTACAAGTCTCCTGATATCTTCCTACAAGGTAAATGACCTTATTTCGAGTTGAATATAACGCTGGCTTGGATGACACCACACAAGACATGTTATTTTTTATATTGTTTATACTGTTCTCAACCCACTTCGAAACATACAATCTGTAAAATTCCTGGTTTCTAGATAAGTGCCAAAATAGTAGATGTCACCTGAGGTCAAGCTGATGAGGGTTGATACTGTAAATGTGATCTCCCACACATTGTGTATACACCCGAATGACTGGTACAAATAGAGCACACAGGCGGACGTAGGCCAAGAACTGTCTGGATCTGCCTCCTGAGAAACTCAAGCTAAATAAGAAAATACCAATGTTTTACCGAGTTCTGCCTGCCTGCTGCGGACAGTAAAAACCTAATGGATTTTTTGACGGCCATGATGGATGGGTCCAATTGTGAATGTGACCATGGGAGAGCGAGAGCAACTGTGGGGCATAGAGCACTCCACACAGCTCCACACTGAAGCAGCAAATCAAAATACTAAGTTAGAGA